ACATATAATGAAACAATTATACAACTCACCATAATGCAGAATTGGTGGGAGTCCTGAGCTTGTTTTCCTGCAACTAGATGGTCCCAGCTGGGGATGAGAAACGGTGACACCTGAAGTGTTTTGCTTATGTCCAGTCTACCTCATAATCTCATTTTGGTGACTGTCACTGCAGAAAACCCTACTTCACAAAGATAGGATGTTAGAAATGGAAGCAGTTTTGAGGTGTTATGGCTTTGTTGGATAGCCAATTGCTACATATTACACAAAGCGGGCTTGGAGAATGTGAATCACCTGTTGCAAATGAACCTGTAATTTAAGTAGGATTCTTGGTATTTTCTTTTAAATACAGCTTTTTGTTGGCAGTCTTGGGATCTTCTGTTGTGTCATCATTAGGTTTTTCCCTCTTTTCAAAGAAGCTTTTCAGTGATGTTTGTTTTTTATTCATTTTGGCTAGGGTTAGCTTGTGGGCTTACCAAAACTGACTGAGACAAATACGCAGTGCAGTAAAGAGGTACGGATGGAAGTGGTAAATAAAATAATGGGTGGACCACATGTGGACTAAAGCTAAGTGTCAGATTCTGACTTAAAGCCTGCCACCAGTTGCAGCTGTACAATTGAAGTACATCAACTCACTTGCCACTCACTGATAGGGTTTTGATATGAGTCGGAAAGCAGTTGATTTGTTATGGTCTCTGTGCAGTCAAACCTCACAGAGATAATTTGTGTTTGCAGCTGCTCCCCAGCACTAGCTTCACCACCTCAGTTCCACTTCAGATCATCAGGCATGAGATTCTCATAAGGAGTGCGCAGCCTGGATCCCTCACATGCGCAATTCACAATAGGGCTCACGCTTTTAATGCCATGGCTGATCTGACAGGAGGCGGAGCTCAGATGGTGATGCAGGCGATGGAGAGTGGCTACAAATACAGATGAAATTTTGCTCACTTGCCTGCTGCTCATCTCTTGCTGTGCGGTCTGGCCCCAGATTGTACCGATTCATGACCTGAAGACTAGGGATGCTTGCGTCATATAATCCCTCCAGGTAGTATAGTGTCCTCAATAAAAACATTTGCATGTTCTAGTAAGTGCTTTCATATGCAAGACTAATAATCTTAAGAGAACAGTGAAAGCCATAGGTATTACTACTGTTTTAGAATTGAGAAAGCTTGTATAAAGAGAATATTTTATCTAGAATCACAGGCCTAATATTAGAATTCATTTAAACTTAACAGGGACCTATTCAGCATCTTTTATGTGCTGGGCACTAGTTGGTGTGTTTGAGATATATTCCAGTCCTCTGATCCCTGTCTGTACTCAGAGAATTCCCCTAAGGTGCTTCTGGTCTCTCTCTGCCGCTTTGCATTTGCTAGTCTTCCCATCTCTAGATTTCATTACTGCTTCTATTTTGTCCCTGTTGTCATTTTCCTTCAAAGCCCTTCAAAATTCACTTTCAGTATGAATTTTTTCCTTACTTACCTTCAAAGTAAGCCTTCCTTTATTTTGGATTTCTTGGGACTGTGACAGATATGGCAAGTTACAGAATTGACCATTCTCTGTGTATCTGTAGCTTGCCATATTTTTTTTTAGTTGTTTCACATGCATTTTCTCACCACATAAAAGTAGGTCGAGAACAAATAATTATGATCTGTAATTTTTAAAGAATTATCTACAATTTTTTTCTCATTGTGCTAGCATAGTTATGGGCCCTTAGATGCTTAGTAAAATTATGTTGAATTGAATAGGAAACAAAGGCCATGTCTTAGTCTTAGATTAGCTAGTTGGGAAAACCAAAGATGCAAGGGACACATTATGTGCACAGTTGTGAAGTATATCGATTGTGCAAAAATGAAAAACTTAAAATTGAAGGGGTAAGTAGTCCTGATGAGTTGCTGTCTGTTGTAACTAAAAGTTTATAGCTAACTCTGATCTTTAGGCTTACTGTAGTCTCAGAAACTGGTTCTTAGATTGTGATTAGGCTGATTTGAGCTAGTAATCTCTGGGTTGAGGACAGAACAGCTGTCAATTATTGTTCTCTTCATTAATATATTATTAGTGGTTCACCATAGCATATATTATTATATACATAGTATGGGATGAACCATCTCATGCTTGTATATTTTCATAAGCTTTGAAGATAAAGGAGAAACAGTAAAAAGTCTTCTTAAAACTAACAAGGTAAAATGGAAGTAGTATTCTGTTAGAATATTAGAAGATTTTGTTTGTAGTAGAGTTCATTCGTTTCAAAGGTAGTTTCTCTGTTGTCATTCTTGAATAATAATTATTCGAGCCCAAATAAAGAAAATTGAGCATACTTTAAGTATTTTTATTGTTGTTTTTAAAAGGCACAGTTGGTGGATCTGAAATCTGAACTGACAGAGACCCAAGCAGAGAAAGTGGTGTTGGAGAAAGAAGTGCATGATCAGCTCTTGCAGTTGCACTCGATCCAGCTTCAGCTTCATGCTAAAACTGGTCAGAGTGTTGACTCTGGTACCATTAAGGCAAAACTGGTAAGTAGTTCAGAGGATGATGTGTGTACTCACATGTATTTTAGAGGGCATAGAGGAAAATTTTTAATGATACTTTTTAATTATAAAATGTAATATTTGCTCATTGTGGGAAATTTGTAAAATAAAAGCAATAAAAGCTAATGATCATTATGATCATTCACAGTCTCATCATCTAGAGACAATCAGTGATGATATCAGTAACCAACCATAGTTAGAGTCGAATTTTTTTTTCCTACTTAGTAGTATGTGTGTAAATATATAAATATAATATATTTTTATAATACATTTTATATTTGTGATGATAACATCAAATTTTTTTTGCCCTGTTGTATTAGGAGTAAATTCAGCTACATATAGTAGAAATGCTAAGTAACATTGGAATTATTCTTGAATAGTAATTATTTTTCTCTCAAAAGAGTCCTGAGACAGATAGTCCTGAGCTGATAGGACACCTCCACAGGTATTAGGGAACCAGGTTCCTTCTGTCATTGTGCTCTGCCAGTTTTAACTTAGATTTCCATTCTCAGGATTTCTTCATGTCTATATTCTAGGCAGGAAGAAGGATGAACCTAAGGGAAGGGCAAAAAGATGCTTCTCAGCTGTTAGCCTTCTTTAAATAACATGTTATGAAATCCTCTTCAGTAATTTTTGCCAACATCTCATTGGCTGTTTCCCTAGCTGCACGTCTTAGTTGGTCATATGGCTACCTCCAGTAAAATTGGAGTTCTCTTAATAAGGAAGAAGTAGAAAATGGTACTGGGTGCCCATCAGTAGCACATTCCTTTGTTCTTGATATAGTGTAAGCATTTTTCCTGCCACTGTACACTTTAAAATGTCTGCATATTGTATCATTGTGTGGATTTGCCATAATTAACCACTGCCCTCTTAATAAATATAGATTGTTTAAATAGAGAAAAACTTTTTAAGGCCTGTTTTAATTTAACCTCAAATGTTGTATGTACTATGTACCAGACATTTTGTTAACTATATGGGGACATCGCAGTGAATAAGACAGATACAACTTGGCAGAGCCCACACATAAAATGATATTGATGATGTGACGAGAGTAATATTTTTTTTTAATTTTTGGATTGAAATCTCACTTCGTTGCCCAGGCTGGAGTGCGGTGACACGCTCACAGCCACCCCAGCATTGACCTTCGGGGCTCAGGCGATCCTTCCACCTCAGCCTTCCAAGTAGCCAGAGCTACAGGCACACGCTGCTGCACCCTGCTAATTTTTTATTTATTGTAGAGGTGATGTCTCACCAAGTTACCCAGGCTGGTCTCGAACCTGTGGGCTCAGGCAGTCCACTCACCTCGGCCGCACAAAGTGCTGGGATGACAGGCTGAGCCACTGAGCCTGACTGGGAGTAATACATTTTTAAGTTTTCTTTATTTTCAGTTAATCTCATTTAGTTGATTAGTTTCTAATACTGATAATTTGGCATTTATTTAATGAATATTTATGTTCTCCTAAAGTTTTCTTAAGTTCTGAAAGTATGAGTCTAAGTTAGTAGTATTTTGTTTAACTAAAGTAACTGTTGGATCATAAATGCTTCTTTGAGCTATTTGATATTAACATTAAGAAACAAGAACTGATTACCACATGTTCTCACTCATAAGCAGACACTGAACATCTAGCATAATTGGCAGTAGTGGGACACTACTAGGGAGAGGGCACATAACATCAGTAAGGGTGCCTGATCCTAATCCAGGCAAAGTGAGGTCCGGTGGGAGGCCCAGACTTTACCAGTATGTAAACCATTTATGTACCAAATCCTGACTTGTAATTAAAATAATTACAACATAATAGTTAAATTAATTTTAGAAGGGAAACAGTCTACATTTTCACTAGAAAAGAATTTACCTGAAGTTTTAACATTAGATTTGATTGATTGATTGATTTATATTTTTGAGTCTTCAAGGTCTCACCAAGCTGGAGTGTAGTGGCATGGTCATGGCTCACTGCAGCCTCAGTCTCCTGGGCTCAGACGATCCTTCTGCTACCAAGCCTGGCTAATTTTGTTGATTTTTTTTTCTGTAGACATAGTGTCTTGCTGTGTTGCCTAGGCTGGGCTTGAACTTCTGGGCTCAAGCAATCCTCCAGCCTTGCTCTCCCAAAGTGCTGGGATTTATAGGCATGAGTCACTGTCTCCAGTGACATTAGATTTGAAAGAGTACTATATTGAAAAGAATGCTGAACCAGTTGTGTTGACTAATTCTGCTAAAACAGAATTTTTAAATCTGTAAAGTTACTTTTGTTTATAGATTTTCAAACATACTTGTTCTCATGAACTTTACCCAAATGATACTCAACATGTGGGCATTTTTCTTGTAATGTTATACCACTCAATAATTCATTTGTTTGATGTTTTTCTAATTATAAAACTTTTTTCTTATATCTGAAGTCTGTCCCCTCTGTGGAGGAACTGGTAAGTATGCCATTTCTGTTTTGCTTTGATATGTCGTGCTGAAGTGTTCTTAGTGTTTTATTTGCGTATTACATGTTGTCACTCTTTGTGTTTGAAAACGGTGTTATGATGGCAATTTTTTAATGTTCAAATAACTGAAGAGTTCAGTGGATGGCCCGTTAGGGTTTTCTCACTGCATGTTGTTAAATATTACTCTTTTGTTTGTGATTGATAGCCATTATTTGTAGAATCTGTCAATTTTTGACAACTTCTGAGCCTTGTGACTTGCCCAAACCTGTATTTCAAAGAGTAGTTAGTTTTCTCACTTGAGGATATTGAAGATATATTAAGCCAGCATGGTTTTTAACCCCATCAAAGGTGTCTATTTGAATGTCCATGTTGGTTTCTTCATCCACTGCTTGTGCTACAACTTTCAACAGTTTTTTTTTGGAGTCATAGTCTCACTCTGTCGCCCAGGCTGAAGTACAGTGGCATGCTCACAGCTACCACAGCCTTGACCTGCTGGACTCAGGTGATTCTTCCAACTCTTGCCTTCTAAGCAGCTGGAACCACAGGCACATGCCACCATACCCAGCTAATTTTTTTATTTATTGTTGAGACGAGGTCTCACCAAGTTGCCCAGGCTTGTTTCGAACTTCTGGGCTCAGGCAGTCCTCTACACCTCTGCCTCCTAAAGTGCTGGGATTCCAAGTGTGAGCTAACACGCCTGACTCAACAGTCTTAAGAATAATTGTGTGGCCTTTGTAACAACTGAATTTTGAAATGCTTTAGCAGAATTTATCTTAGAAAATAACAATATATAAATTTTAAATATTTGTTCCACTGCCCTATTGTAGTCAGGTTCCAATTTGTCTTGTGGCTTTACTTCTTTTGAAGGTATACTCTTTGAGTATCTAAACATAAAATGAATCTCTTGATTGTTACCTAATAACAACCTGGTTAACTAAGAAACAAAGAAGTTTCTTCTTTAAATCATTTGGAGATGGTTAACTTCAGTTTTTACTTTTTCTTGCTTTTATTTTTTAATTTCAGACTTGAGAGTTTGTAAGATTCATTAGAGATTTGAATCATTAAAACTCCATTAAGTAGTAGCTTAATATGTTTCTCGTATTTTGTTAATTTAATATAAGTAGCTCATAAAGTAGATAATCCTCAATTCTTTATTCCATAAAATAAAGAAATTTTGGTCTTCTAGAAATTATTTTTCTAAGACTGAATCAACCTCAATAAATATCATAAAAAATATTTTTATTCATGTTATCCAAACTGTGGTTTCTTTTGGAACTGATACCTGCCCTTTTAGGAAATAGGTTCTGAAATAGAGATTTTAATAATTCTAAAGTTGTAAAAGGAAGATTCTAGATTAATAGTTTTTTGAATCCTTAAATATAGAAATTGTGTTCTAATCATTTTTTTTTCTACAGAAGTTGAAAAAGCCTGCTAGTCTTTCATGTTTGTCACATATGTTACAAATATTTTTAATCAAAGAAGTGATAAATATATCCTTCATTTGGTAGTTGTCATTAGTTTTAGCCTCTCTCTCTCTCCGTGTGTGTGTGTGTGTGTGTGTGTGTATGTGTGTGTGTATTGTGGTACTTACTGCCTTGTATTTGAATATATCATATTTTGATATTGGTCAGAACAGTAAATCAAAGCAGAAAGTTAATTTAGTACCAAGTATATTCTTTGAATTGCCAAAAGCTTGCTTAAATTTTTTTCTCAGCTCCTCAGTATCCAAAATAAAAAGGGAAATAATCAATGCTCATACAATAGAAGTAATACCATTTGCGATTTCCCCAAGGGAAACAATTTTTCCTGGCACTAAGGAAGGTTTTAATTTAGGTTGTCATAAAGGGAACATTATGGTCTAGTGAATAATGTCTTCCACATCTCATAAGCAAAATATAACTATATTTTCATAGTATTTGTGGATTCTGTAAATTATTGTCAGTGAAAACAGTTCTGTAACTCAGTACAAGCAGTTCTGCTTGGGATAAGTAAAAGTTTGCAGTATTTGGGTGGTTTTTTTTATCCAAAAGTACACTTAAAATCCTTATTGGGGCCCTTACTCGCCTCTCTTCTTTGGCCACATAGTGTGTACGCATCTTTGTTTTTGAATTTGCCTGTCTTTGGGCAGGATCTTGTTTCTTCCATTTTGCACTCTACTTTGTCCTGTACCTGCCTGTCTATTCTGTGCTTGGATTCTGAAGGCATTTACATTTGTAACCCCTGATTATAGGAGTAGACAGACTGTAATTTATACTTTTAAGGTAAATTGAACATTGTTTGTCTCATATGAACTGATAAAGATTTGATGGCAAAGATCTTGAGGTTGTAGTCTCTGGCTGACACCTTTAGGTTCGTGTATATGGACTATCTACCAGGTGGAACATAGGATGGCATTCTTTTATGAGAACTAAAAACATATGACTATCCTACTTCTTAGGAGGCAAGGGAGGCCAGTGTTTTCCTCAGAAAACAGTTCTGCATCCACTTTAACACACAGACAAATAGATGAACCAGATCCCAAAGTTCAGCACTAATCTACACCATAGATATACTTAAATATAGAAATGTTTTAATATGTAAATGTTTTAATGCAGTTGTTGCCAAATGTGTTTTTAAAAATTACAATGTCTCTTCTAATTTAAGCATTGTAAGTTCCTTGTAGTCCTCCAAGATAAATTAGCTGTAAAATTTATCTCTGTGTAACTGAATAATTTCATCTTTATAGCATTGTTACATAAAAGTTAATTAAATGTTTGGGAACAGACACTAGAATGATTATTTTTATATTAGTCTAGTTTCTTAAGTCATTTTTTGAGTAAATAGCAGATTCAGTTATCTCTTGAAGCCACTCCTATTAATATGTAATAACGTGAGCTTAGAGAAGATTTTTTTCTCTTACTATCCTCAATGTAATTATCTTATCTAGAAGTAGTTCCAAGATGTTATGGTGCTAGTTCAAAACAAAACAAACACTAGATCCAAACCTTTGTGTTCCATTTTCTAAAAATTAAGTGGCAATTTTTAATATATGCTTTCTTTGTTGGACTGTGTGCTTTTGTGTGTTTTAAGGAACGTGGGGTACTGCTAAGAAGCCATAACAGTATATGTTGTTTTTTTTAAAAAATTGCATAGGAAAGAGAACTTGAAGCCAACAAAAAAGAAAAAATGAGAGAAGCTCAGCTTGAAGCTGAAGTGAAATTGTTGAGAAAGGAGAACGAAGCTCTGCGCAGACACATAGCCGTTCTCCAGGCTGAAGTTTATGGGGCAAGACTGGCTGCCAAGTACTTGGACAAGGAGCTGGCAGGAAGGTTTGTAAATAATGGGTGTGCTTATGCTCTTGGGTGAAAATTTAATGAGGTTGACTCTTATTTCTTGTGGTAAATGGAACATTAATCGTTACCCTCAGAATTATTATTCTTATTATTATCTTTTTAAAATTTTATTTTAAGAAAGCAGGATTTATTGAGAGCACAGAAAAGCTCCCACAATGGGAGGGGACCCAAGGGAGTTGCCCAGAATTATTTCACAGTTGGTTATAACTGTTGTTAATATAATATCGATAGAATTATATATTGCAGATTTATTTATTCATACTAAATAAGTTCAGTTTACAAACACTAATAGTAACTTACTAAGAACTCTGTAGAGCAACACTTTTTAACTAGTTCCTGCCTTGGTACCATAATAGATGATGTTCACATCAGCAGAACTTCCATAAGTAATTTTTTCCATGATCACTGAAACCCAATCTTACTTGCCCCTCAAAAAAAATGTTTGTTTTAAGTTAATGACAGTGATCTTATCATAATACAGAGTTCTGCTTTCACTGATTTTTCTAAGTATATTTTTAACCAACTTTGATGATATATTATTAGTACTAAATCATTTTATGCTTATTCTTTTAATGTCACATTAAGAACTAGAACAAAGGAAAAATAATTCATATCATCCTAAAATACAAATTTTCTAATAACTTTTTACCATATTTTAAGATAATGATTTTGTAGAAACTCTCATTAGAAGAAATGTTTTTGTACAGTTAATCTAATCTAAAAGCGAATATTTAATAGTGTCTGAGTTTACTTAGTATTTTGCATGCAAAACTTAAAACACATTTAATGTTAATATTATGAATTGTTTTTTAGATTTACTTGAATTAAATATATGACCAAAGGAGTTCTCATTTATTCCCCATTTAAAATTTTTTTTACTGTTTTTTTTTTCTTGAAGATACCTGTTCTTTTCAGAGTTTTTATATATTTTTGAATTTGATATATCAGGAGGTTCCTGAGTATTCATTTAATTACTAGTTTGAGATTTATGCAAAAGTTAATTTTGTGTTCGGCAGTTCTTCTGAATTCTCTCTATAGTAAGAATAATGGAAAACCAGCTAAATAAACTCTTTTCCAACATGAAGGGTCCAGCAAATACAGTTACTAGGACGAGATATGAAGGGACCCGCTCATGATAAGCTTTGGAACCAATTAGAAGCTGAAATACATTTGCATCGTCACAAAACTGTGATCAGAGCCTGTAGAGGACGTAACGACTTGAAACGACCAATGCAGGCACCACCAGGCCACGTACGTTTGCTTTGCTGCTGCTTTCTACTTAGCCTCTCCCTTCTTTCTTTAATCACAAGTCCTTTCCTTCTTTTCTTCACGTATAATTTGAAACCTTTATTTAAAAGATGAAAATGGGATTCTACTTATTCCAGATAGATACATATTTAAAGTTTCAACAACCATTAGAGGCTTTGGTAACTTTTTATAGACGAATTAATACCCTGAAGGTGATATTTCTGCAGACAGTGAACCACTGTTTGAAAATGCATATTGCTAGTACTTTGGATCATATTTCAAATTTTTCCTGGATCATGATTGGCATATTTAAATTTGTTTTAAGCTTAGCTGAGAATGTGTGGTTATACTGATAATGTGGCAAATCTTTTGAAGTCGTTCTTGAGCAGAATTTTTAGTAACTAAATCCAAATATATCCTGAATTAACATGTACACCTGTTTGGTCTTGGATTAAAATGGAATTTGAGATCTCTGTCTAGCTGTCTGCTGTAACTTTTCTTTCTATCTGAATACAAAGGGGTACTCCAAAACACCTGGTATTTATTTATAAAATTTTGTGTATTTATTCTTATATGTTGAAACTTTGATCACCTTCAAAGTACTCTCCATCTGATGCAATACACCTTATTGAGATGCTTTTTTTCACTGCTCAGAATAGTCTTTGAACTCGCCAATTTTGATGCCTTTTTAGTGTTCTACCATTTTTTGTTTCCCCTTTTCCACGTTGGCAAAACATTCCCTTTGAGGAATGTTTTCAACCAGGGAAACAAAGGTCGTTCAGGGTGAGATTGGGTGAATAAGGAGAGTGGGACACAGTGGTCATTGCCATTTTTGGTCAAAAACTGCTGAACACTTCAGCACAGAGTGGGCAGGAACATTGTCATGTTGGAAGAACCAGTCACCTATTTGCCACAGAAAAATTCGCTGAACCAAACACAGTCTCTCAAAACAATGCTAGCTGGTACAATTCTGGGCTTGTAGATCTTTATTAAACTTCATTACAACAGTTGCTTGATAATACATACCTTAATATATGAAAGCATGTCTCTTACCCAGTGGTTCATATATCTTAGTAGCAGATAGATAGTAAAATAATTTGTCACCTCTGCCAAGATTATTATAAGAAGAATTGATATGCACATAGGTTTGGTGGCAGAGGAGTGGGGATGGCAATGAGCACTTATGCCATTGTGTTCTCTATGACACTGGTGGTCCCCATTAGTTTCTAGGTCCAGTAGAGGGCCAAGTTGGAATTGAGGAAGTGCATTAGAAAGATACTCTAGTAACAAGGAGAAAATGATGAGGGCAGGGGAGGTGGCATTTGAGAGGAAGGACAGGTTTGAGAGAATTACAAGGACTTGACTGGTGACTGACAGTTTTTGGTTAAGCAGGTGAGTGAAAAGGAAGAGTCTAGGTTTTTGGTTTGAGCAACTGAGTGAGATCTGTCATTTACTGAGAAAGGAAATAAAAGGAAAGTTGTGGAAAGAAGATAATAAGATCAGTTTTAGACAAGTAGTATTTGAGGTACCAGTGGGAAATCCAGAATATGTCCAGTTGGATACATGACTTGGGATTTAAGGAGATAAATCTACATTGAAGAAATATTGGGGAAACTGTTACAGTTGAAACCATGGAATTTATTAAGCCACGCAGGGGAAGTACATATAAAACAAAAAGAATCGGAGGCCAGGGATGGTAACTATGGAGTGAGGGGAGAAAAAGGATCAGCAAAGGAGGAAAGGACCCTGATAATGGGGCTGTTCGATGGAGGCCGTCTAGGAGAGTGATGCAAAGAAGCCAAAGGAAATCAGATTTCAAGGAGGGCATGATGGACAGTATCACTTTTGCAGGGTCAAGTAGGGTAGTGACTAAAAAGTGTTAACTGGATGTAGCAACATTGGTTATCAGTGACTACTGAGAAGAAAATTACAGTTGTGAATGTAGGGGCAAAACCCTAATTACAGAGGTCAGTGTCCTGAATGTGAATAGCAAGGAAGTAGATATGTTGGAATGAACTTGGTGTGGGGGTTAAGGACAGAGGGAGAAGGGTAGTTGCTAAAGAAAATAGCAAAAATTTAAAGAGTTTCTCTTTTGTTTTGTATTTGTACTTGGTCAGTATTTTGAGTCTAGAAGAGGTTTGGAATTTGTTTATCTGCTGAATAGGAAGACAGAGTAAAGGTACCACATAAATAATTATTAATGGAACAAGGCTTTTTATTTAAGAGTTAAACTCCAGAGCACCAAGGAAGAAAAAAGTAATTAATGACCCAATTAGAAATTTGTTTTCCAACTCTATTGGTTAAAACGGATATAGATCTTTAAGGTGTATTCCAGTGACGATAGATACTTTAAGGTAGTTCCAATGAAGATACAAAAGAATACATACTTTTGTAAAGTTCTACGGTTTAAAAAGAAATATAATAATATTTTGAAAATTATTGGTAAGAGGACGAGAAAATCATCTATAAATTTCACCATATTAACACAACTATTTTATTTTTTCATTTCATCTGTTAATTACTTTCTTAACATTATACTGTGTGTCCACTACAGGAAATGAGTAAAGACTTCTAAAAGCAAGTTATATAGCACAAGTTTACTGTATTTAATGTGCTATTTAAATGATACTAATTTTTCTTCTTTTTTCTCCCAATAGGATCAAGATTCCTTGAAGAAAAGCCAAGGTGTTGGTCCAATTAGAAAAGTTCTCCTCCTTAAGGAAGATCATGAAGGACTTGGCATCTCAATTACAGTAAGAAGTAGTGCTTCCAGTCTCTTTCTACAGTTGCCTGATAGAATCATGCTCCTTTGTTGGATACCATTGGGGAAGAGAATATTTTCTGTTTGTAAATAACTATATTTATCCCCATGGACACTAATATTTTGGTCTAAACATTCTTTTGTATGTGAGTCTTCCTAACAACTGTTAAGTGTACCTTTAGTAAGCATAGTTTAACATCTTCATTATGATTCCCATTGCATATACTCTGATGTCCGTACCATATATTCTGATGTCTTTAGGAACCTTTGGAAATAGATATAGCTGTTTTCTTCTGTGTTAAATCTGTTTGTCAGCTGAATAGGAAAACATTCAGTAGAGAGGGAGCGAGTAAAGGTATCAAAGAAAGAATTATTAAGGGAACAAATTCCTTTATTTAGGAGAGAGACTCCAGAGCACCAAGGAATGAAAACAGTAATTAATGACCTAATTGGAAATTTGTTTTGTATTGTATTGTTTATAGAGTATGTGTTTTCATTCTCTTAGCTTATTTATTAGCTGTGAGATTTCACCGGCTCTTAGTTTCAAATATTATGTAGGGGGATTTTTTAATTTGATGTCTTTACAAACAATTGTCTTGGACAACATTCCTGAGAACAATCCTATTATAAAGTACATATGTCTGAGTCATTTTATTGTAGTCTCAGTGCTTTGCTGAACAAGGTGACTACTCTGATTTTCATTTAATAATACTTAGACGCTGCATAAATTGTTTTCTGGTATTCCTTAATGTAGAAATGTTTCTTATAATAAAAATTCATCTAGTCTATATTTATTGAATACTTATCTTTTTAATGTACTGCCCTCAAAGAATATGAATTTTAGGAGAAGTAAGACACACATATACACACACAACTATGATACAAGCTAGAGAGTGATATGTACCAAATGCAATATTTTTGAAATTCTGCATTGCATATTTTTTCACATTTTAACTTCCCTGAGATTGGAATTCATCTTACAATTATTTTTTGTGGAACATAAAGTAATTGGTCTAACCATTCAAACTTGATACAAAATGGTGCTGTGGAGTAATAACACATAAATATTTTTATGTATATTTAATATTTTAGCCAATTTACTCTTTGATACCCACAATAACTTATCATTACCTAAGTTGCAGATAAAATTTCACCCAGCATTTATAGAGGCAGTATAGTTACTTATTGAAATATATTTTTAAGAAAAGATTTTTATCTCTAGAACAGTCTGTGACTGTGCTTTACAAAGAGTAATCTAATTTATTGGCTTTTATTAGGGTGGGAAGGAACATGGTGTTCCAATCCTCATCTCTGAGATCCATCCAGGGCAACCTGCTGACAGATGCGGGGGACTCCACGTTGGAGATGCAATTTTGGCAGTAAATGGAGTTAACCTAAGGGACACAAAGCATAAAGAAGCTGTAACTATTCTTTCCCAGCAGGTAAATATCCTTCATTTAATTAAAATTGAATCTACCAGTTGGTTCTTTTTGAATTTATTGAATACTTTCTTCTTCCCTGTGAAGTTTCTCAAGTAATAAAGTGTTTATAGACAGATATTTGTTTCCTTTGATTTAAGGCTTCAGATTTACTGAAAATGGACCATTTTGTCTACACTTTTCTATGGCTGCATGACTTTGAGCAAGTTACTTACGTCCTCTGTGCCTAGTGTCCTCCTCATCTGTGTGGTTGGAATTGAAATAGAGCTGTGAGAATTAAGTATGTTAAAAATACAAAGTACTCAGAATAGAAGCTGACACTTAGAAAGCTACATCATTAATGACTAAAACACTACACACACACGCGCACACACACTATATATATGAGGTATTACAAAGAAGACAATGCTAGGAGTGGATTGATTTTAGACATAGAGTATTAGCACCTTTTTTATTTAAAATGAGTAAACTAATGTTCTTAGAGATGAAAGCATTTTAATTTGCAGAACAATTAAATTATAGATTTGAGATTCCTACCCACAAGTCATATCTTATTATCCAGTGTATTTAATATGTTATTTTTTTCCTGTGGAAACATGGAAATTTAGAGAGGTGTTTGTAGTACCTTGAGATGTTTCTTGACTCTTCAGTGTAGTCTGTCCATGTAGAATTGAATCTCAGAGTTGAAAGTGAATTTGGAGCTCGTTTGTTCAACTCTCCATGATGCATAAATCTCCTCTGCAGCATTCTAGTTAGCTGCATTACCCGAAAGAGTTGCTGACGAGTAAGCCGTCTATCATGTTGACTTACAGTGCTGATTTTTAGGAAGCGCTTTCTCATATTGACTGACAGTCACCCATAGATCTGATTCTATGGTAACCATGGTTACCATAGACTCTATTCTGTCTGATTTCTATTCTATGGTAACCCTGGTGCTTGTTGCAAAGACACAAGTGGAGAAATTCAAGTGTTTCAAGGTAAAAAAAAAAATCACTAAAAATTATCATTAATGTATCATTATAAATTTTTAAAATAGAAAAGCCTCAGTTGTCCTTCAGTAACACTATCTTAATGATAGGGAAACCAAAGGAATGAATAGCTTTCTCTAGTTTATAGTTTATTGTACACCAGTAACTATGCTAGCATTTTATTTACATATATATTCTTCTGAATTTGTCTTGGATTATTAGCACAAGTATGTTGTCAGTTACTCATTATAAGTGATGCTTGAAAAATAAATAAAACTTTACTGAAGACAACTGCATTAACCATCTCTCTCTGCAAAGTGATATTTTTAAAGCATTTTCTGATAAGGGAGATCTAAAAATGCTACCCTACACCTGACAGCTACGGGGAAGGAGTTACAAGTATTAGTATAAGTTGTAAGGAAACACTAAGCTCATATTAAAATTCTGAGGTATAACCTTAAAATACTGGGAAAGAGGAATACCAAAGAAATGAACTTAGTGGTCGTGGTCATAAATGACATGCTTCCTTTTGAGCAAAGGGAAGCCATAATTTTCAGAGAGTTGCAAACACCAAACTTTTGTGTAGTGATTATAGTCTCTTATAAAATGAGAATTATAGCCTGGAATTTCTTTTTTTTTTTTAGCATAAAATGATCTGTAACTTTTTACTTGAATTTGAAGTTGCTATTAAAGAATGACAGTATAAATATCACACAGTCTAGCATAGTAGAAACAGTAAGGACTTTAGAGTCAAATTTCTATTTTTCTGTATACTTCTTCATAATTTTCTGCTCTCTCCTGCACTCACTCAGGTTTGTCATTCATGTGAAAGAGGACTATAATAGGGTTATTCTGAGGATCGAGGACTAATTTTGCACAATAAATGTGGTAATTACTATTATTACTAGACATAATACCTTGATTAATGCTGTATCTGGTACTCAGTGAAAGTTAAAAAGGTTCAAGACTATTCATTAAGAAGCAAATCATTGTATAGAAGTTTCCTGAGTGAGTTAAGGAAAAGTTTGTGTGATATCCTTTCGTGCAAGTTTATTTAATATCTGACTATTTAGATGAGTTTGCTGAATTTCTGCGTGAAGTTCAAAATGAAAAAAAATAACTTAAACTGAAGGTTTGTTCTAAAATCCTATAAACTTAAATCCTTTTTTATTTTAGATCTATTAGCAAAAATATATTGTGACCAGTAGAAAAGGATCCCATAATATTTAAAGATTATTTGAGAGAGGATTCACAGGGTTGATCTAGACAGGATGACCTCGAAGACCCCTTCTACCTCTTTAGTTTCTAGAATTTATTATTTGCTGTCTGGAAAGGAGTTATACCTGAGGTATTCTTACACTTAAAAATTTGTAAATCCTTTCTAAATTATAACTACAATAACTTTATTTTTTGTTTTCCCTTCCTGTTTTAGAGAGGAGAAATTGAATTTGAAGTTGTTTATGTTGCTCCTGAAGTAGATTCTGATGACGAAAATGTAGAGTATGAAGATGAGAGTGGACATCGTTACCGTTTGTACCTTGATGAATTAGAAGGAGGTGGTAACCCTGGTGCTAGTTGCAAAGACACAAGTGGGGAAATTCAAGTGTTACAAGGTAAAAAAAAAAAATCACTAAAAATTATCATTAATATGTTATTTATAAATTTTTAAAATAGAAAAGTCTCAGATGTCCTTCAGTAACACTATCTTAATGATGGGGAAACCAAAGGAATGAATAGCTTTCTCTAGTTTATAGTTTATTGTACCCCGGTAACTATACTAGCATTTTTTTTTTTTTTTTTTTTTGAGTTGGAGTCTCACTCTGTCGTCCAGACTGGAGTGCAGTGGCTGCTCCTGGCCACCACAGCCTCGACCCGCTGGGATCCGGTGATCCTTCCACCTCAGCCTTCCAAGTAGCTGGAACTACAGGCGCGTGCTACCACATCTGGCTGATTTTTTGATTTATTGTAGAGATGAGGTCTCACAAAGTTGCCCAGGCGGGTCTCAAACTCGCGGGCTCAGGCAGTCCACTCACCTCAGCCTCCCAAAGGCGTGGGATTACAGGCTGAGCCACCGAGCCCGGCTAAGCTAGCATTTTATTTACATATTTATTCTTCTGATTTTGTCTTGGACTATTAAGGTAAATATGTTATCAGTTACTCAGCTACAAATGATGCTCGAAAAATAAATAGAATTTAAGTTTTCTTGACTCTGAAACAAAGAACAACATGGTATTTCAAGAAGATATAAATGTAGTCTGTCTTGATGCAAATCTCTCATAATACATGAATGATATATAAAGTATAAGTACTTATGATCGCTATTAGAGTCAGATAACTTTTATTTTTAATTTTAAAGATGTTGGGTACAGTTCAGGATTAGGTATATAAATGTTCATTATGCAGGTACCCTTGTTGATGTGGTGTGCCCCCCCACCACCCCAGCAGATTCCCACTACTGCCAATCCTGCCCTCCCTACCCCAGCAGTTTTCCACTACTGCCAATCCTTTTCTTTTTTTTTTTTTTGTTTTTGAGTTGGAGTCTCACTCTGTTGCCCAGACTGGAGTGCAGT